TGAGAGGCTGGTTTGGTGAAAAATTTGTGCGTTTAGGCCAGGGTTTGACTTTATGTGGACGGGGCCTCAGAGTCTGCCTTGTAGGGTGCCACAGGGGTCATTTGTAGGACCTTTTCTTTTTTTTTTTTATAATTGTTATGGCCAAACCCATGGCCACACCTTAAGTCTGGACTATACATGCACCTTTATTTATTTAATCCATACATATACTTTAGTTTGCAATAAAACTTTATTCTTAGTTCAAATGCATGTTGTAATGGCGATTGTTTGTCAAACCAAACATCCAATAAAGTTCCAATAAGCCACTATAGGCACTGGGGTCACGTTTTCTTTACGCAGGCAAAAGAAGTTAAAGTCCAAACTTGTAGATGTTCAGTTGATTTATTTCCTATATTTTAGCAACATTACAGAGTTCAAACATTCCCTTGCTCTGTCACCTCTCTTGCGCTGGTAAAAACCCATAGGCCCCTAACCCAAATGCCTGCTGGTCCTTACCAGGCTGCTACAATTATAGAAAGTGGACCGCCCACATTTCTTCCTGTTTTACTTAAAATAAAGAAAGAAAAAATGATAAAACAACAAAAAATAAATACACAAAATTCAACAATTAACCTATAAATAAAGTCTGTAAATAATACAAAAAATATCTAAGTTTAGGAATTAACACAATTCAAATGTTCTATTTGTAAGGGCGCACATTTAGTTTACTGTATTTGTTTGCACTCATTCATATTTCTTTCTGTTTTTGTCACTAATCTGTTTCTTACCTATGGTGCCTAGGAGTTTGGCCAGACAAGAGATGGCAGCCATGCTAAATGCAGGAGGGGAAATTGGACTGTTCCATCAGCTGCTGCTTAAAAGGGGGAATTAGAATTTTCCTTGGTTGCTACAGACTATGCTAGAAGATATCCCGAAGTCTGCTGCTTAAAGGGGGGAAATTAAAACTTTCCTTTTCTCATTTTTTTTGCATTTTTCACTTAGATTTTGTTTTGTGGTTGGTGTGTTTTCATTTTTCTAAGATATAGATTCGTTTTTTTGCCAAACCTAACTGTACTGCCAATGTTTGTCATTTGTGGTATTTTGTTCAGTTTAAATTACCCCTATTGTGTTAATGGTCTGGTCAGCCAGTGTATATGTACCCTTGTGTGTCATTTCTTAGGACAGTTATGTTTGTTTATGCAGCGAGTTAGTTTGGGCACAGTTTGCTTAAGTTAAATTTTCTCTTTTTGGTTGACCTCTTTTATGACTTGAACCCATGTATTTTTTTGTAAGTTTCTTTTTTTTTAGGTTAAAAAATAAAAAAAAAACTATTTTTGTATTAATTCCTGTGACTCCTCATGCTTTTTACCGCAGTCCCTCACATAATGCTTCTAGTTAGAGTTACTCAGGTTATCCTGAGCTATCTCTATAGTTATGCTGCTATAAGCCTAGACTGCTGGAGGACAAAGGGACCCCTATTCATAATTCTGCTGTATTCTTTAGCTCAACCTCTAACGTTCTGCTCTCTCTGCTTTTTCTCATAGTAGCTTCATCTGGTCTGTTCCCATTTGGCTGTGACTCCATCCTGGAGAGAAAAATCAACTGTGCTGCTGCCATCAATCAGTCAATCGACTTTATTTCTATACCACATTTAAAAACCGCAGCGTTAACTAAAGTCCTCAACATAAAACAAGTTAAGAGTAAATAAACAAGATTAGACAATTACCAGGTTTACAACAGGAATAGGGCCACAAAAATCTAGATCTTAATGTTAAAAGCAGAGGAACAAAAATGTGTTTGCAAGATTTAAAAACAAAAAAAGAGGAGGTCTGTCGGGCACTTTAGGGCAACCTACTTCACCTGGCGATGCTGCAGCAAACGCTCTGTCTGCTCTGAGCTTCAGCCTGGTTTTAGGGACGGTCAGAAGCAGCCGATCAGCAGACCTATGGAGGAGGGCAGTAAGGCTGAAGCAGCTCAGACAGATATGGTGGAGCGATGTCATTTAGACATTTAAAAACAAATAACAGCAGCTTAAAATTTATTCTATAATACACAGGGAGGCCAGGATGGGGGAATATGCTCTGCAGGTATCTGTTATCAAGCAAGGAGCAGAGTTCTGCAAAAGCTGCAGACGGGCAGGAGACACCGACTAATGCCTACATAAAGAGCATTATAGTAGTCCAGATAAAGGGTGATAAAAGCGTGCACTAAATGACTCCAGATCAGGTCTCCCCTAGACCAGCTTCTTTGGCCATTAGACTAACTTAATCGAAACATCTTTGAACAAAACTGCTGATCTATTCTCATATTTAATATATGATTTTCTCCCAGCAACTTCAGTTTCAGATGCGTTGAGCCTGTTTTTCAGAATTTAGTCCTGTTTCTCTCCTGGAAACACCTTTGGACTCAGCTTTTACCGTGACTGTTTTTTTATTCTGATTAATTCAGGATAAATCTGCTGCTTTCTAGTGGAGACACTGTTGTAACACCCTTTGATGAAACCTGAGATTGACACAGACGTTTTAATGCTTTATGTATTTTATATACAAACAGATAAATAAGTGAACAGGAAAGCTTTTGCAATCTACACAAAAGGATCGTTCTCTGCCTAAAGCAACATCCCGGACAAAAAAGATAAGGTTAGGTTCTCTGGCAAAAATATTCACTATTTCTAAAATATTTACTTTATACATGTACATATAAACAAAGAAGATAAACAGAGCAGAATGAAGTGGATTTAAATATGCAAATGAAGCTCCACTCAGAAACAAAGTCTAGAGCGTTAACATTTGATTCAGGCCGAAGGACTCATGTTTCCTCTTGATTATCCCCCCCCCCCAAATAAACTTTTTATCATGGCTGCTGTGTTAACAAAGGGTGCTGAAAGATGCAGGTATAACTAATAAAAACCAACAGTGCTGCACAGCAGCTCTTTGGGTTAGTTAGCGTAGCAATTAGCATCACAATCAGCTAAACCCATTAATGTTCAGAACCTCACCTGCACTCAGCTGTGAACCTGAAACATCCTCAAGCTTTTTGATGTCAGTTAACTAAAGAATCCCTGCATGGCTTTGGTGTGAAGAACAAAACCTTCTTTACTTTCACTTTCTGTGACCTGATCAAAACACTATGAGACACCATGAGACGTCCTCTTGGTTAGAAGTCAAAAGGACGTCAGAGGTGGTATGGATGCATCTGGGATGTAAAAGCCTCCAGTCTCCCTGGGACGTCGCCTCTGGGGCAGGAGGAGAGAGGAAGATGAAGCCTGCAACCAATGTTACGCTCCCCATTCAGACAGCAAATGTGAATCTCATGCAGCCCACCCAAAATGTTTTTGAATGTAGAAACATTGAAACTTTTTACATCTCTGGTTTTCAGATGCCAACAAATCATCAGGATAAGAACATAAACATGCAGTTTAAGGAGGAGAAGAAGGTCAGGAGGTCCTCCTAATACCATCAGAAGAGGAGAGGGATTCAGTTTGTGGTTTTAAAGAACCGAGAATCAAATTTCCCGCCATCAAATTAAGTCTATTACTCTTCTCTTCCAAAATATTTATAAAACAGGACGGCAATTGTACAAGAAAATACAAGTCCTTTACATCAAGTGGCTTCAGTTTCTTCAAATAAGATTTCCAGACCCCACAGCAGTCACTTCATTGTGTGAGAATGTGTCTGCAGAGCAGTAGCTTCAGTCTCTGAGTTAACTGGTTTCAAGTTTCATGCCGTTTCAATTTGCTGCATCGTCTCTGCATTTTCAGATGGAGATTCTCCACAGATCCAAGGACTGCTCGTGGTCTTCAGAACAGCAACTGAGGACAAAACAAGAGCAGAGAGCATTTCAAGCTTATTTTACCCCCTAAAGACGTTGGACATGTAAGAATCCTGATTCAAGCTGCTTATTTTAACTTTATATTTGGTTTTACTAATACAGTAAACCCCAGGGCTCTGTCCCAGGGTCCCTTAGTTTCATCATAATGGACCCAGTTGGGGTCACTGCTCAATAAGAATTTAGAATCAAAGTTAATAAAAGTTGTGATTGTTTTCACTTCCTTATTTACTTTAATGTCAGCAGATAAGATCATATAAGAATCATGTGGTAATAGAACGTCTCTGGTGTTAGGATAATTGGGAAAGTGTGGTGTTGGGAAAGTTCTCTTTCTACGTGAA